GAATGATGGATGGAAGAATGATGGATGGATGGATGGATGGATGGATGGATGGATAGATGGATGGATGATGGGTGGATGGATGGATGGATGGATGGACAGATGATGGACAGATGCATGGATGGATGCATGGATGAATGAATGGATGGATGGATGGACGGATGAGGGATGGATGGATGAGGGATAGACAGACAGACAGAACCACTACGGAAGAGCTGTGGTTTTGCAGTGGTTAGAATGCAGCATTGTAAGCTAACTCTACCCACTTTCAGGAGTTTGATCCTGACCAGCTCAATGTTGACTCAGCCTTCCATCCTTCTAAGGTCGGTAAAATGAGAACCCAGATTGTTTGGAGAAATATGCTGACTTCATACACTGCTTAGAGTGGGCTGTAACACATTATGAAGTGGTATATATGCTATTGAATAGAGGGATGGATGGATATGTGGTTGATGGATAGATAGAGGGGGAGGGAGAGAGGGAGAAGGAGAAGGAGGGAGAGAGAGAGAGTGTGCATGGAAGAGCTGTGGTTTCACCATGGCTAGAATGCAGCATTTCAGGCTAACTCGGCCCACTGCCAGGAGTTCGATCCTGACTCAGCCTTCCATTTTTCCAAGGTCGGTAAAATGAGAACCCAGATTGTTGGGGACAAATATGCTAACTCTGTAATCCGCCCAGAGACAGCTGTAAAGCACCGTGGAGCTATATAATAAGTCTGAAGGGCTATTACAATTCTAGCCAACGTTCTCCTTTTCTGCTCTTTCCGTGTTCGTCATACTCGCGTCTTTCCTCCACAGCCTTGGAGAAGAGCTCCTCCCTGCTCTCCGACATGATGCAGGCGGACGGCCCTCGAGCTTGCAAGTTTGGGCGGCAGTGGTACATGCACAACGAGAAGTGGCACCCTACGGTGCCCCCTTTTGGGGAAATGAAGTGCATCACCTGCTGGTGCCTGGTGAGTACGGCAGGAGGAGGTGGAACTTCTACGGCAAAATTCAGTGGGTAGCTTGGAGACGGGGATGTCTCTCTCTTAGGAGATGGCCGGTATCCCAGTGGGTGGAAGAAAAACACAAGTAGTCCTTGGCTTACAACAGTTTGTTTAGTGACCGTTTGAAGTTATAACGGCACTGAAAAAAGCAACTGTCAACTCCCTAAAACATTCCTATGCCTGTTTTAGTAGTTGCCATAAAAGGGGGGGGGGAGGAAGGAAATCTGGAAGAGCAGTTGAAAGCGAAAGTCCACTCCAACTCTTTATCTTTAAAAGATTGTAACTAAAATACCAGAGCTTTTGCCCATGAATATATTTAATTGGAGAACGGGGATGATGACACCCAGCCTGTGAACCTGCTCAATTGGAGAATCTGGTTTATGAGACACTCGGGGAAGGGGGGAAACAGGGTCAGAGGGGACCGTAAATGACCTATGCCAGAGTTGGCTCCATACAGGGCAGTGCCAGTATGAAGCCTCTAATAAATCCTTTGAAGTTTTTTGAAGTTTGGCTCAAGAATCATGATTTAATACGAGTGATTGCTGGAATCCTGGCAGCGACCTATGGCTGTTTTTCCACACCTATGACCATTACAGCACCCCCAGGGTCATGTGGCCAAATTCAGATGCTTGACAACTGACTCATAATTATGATGGTTGTAGTGTGCAAGAGTTACGCAATGATCCCCTTTTCGCTTAACAATTCTGGCAAGAAAGGTTGTAAAATGAGGCACAATTCATTTAACAACCGTCTCACTCAGCAGCATGAATTCTGGGGGGAAATCAGTTGTGGGTCCTAAAGTTGAGGACTACCTGTAATCTGCCTGTATGGTCTGAAAGCCGTTGCCGCACAATTGTTGTCTTGAAGTTCTTGTTTTGGGGATTTGGGGTTCTTGTATAATCCTAGCTCTCTTCCAGCAAATTTATGTTATTGTTGGTTTTTTAAAATTTCAGTCTGGAGAAACACATTGTGAGCGCCAAGAATGTTCTCCAACCGCTTGCTCCAAGGAAGGGAAAAAGGGAGACTCCTGTTGCACCCAGTGCCAAGGTGAGGGTGGTCCAGTGGTGGGATTCAAAAATGTTTATTACGGGTTCTGTGGGCGTGGCTTGGTGGGCGTGGCAGGGGAAGGATACTGCAAAATCCCCATTCCCTCCCCAACCCACTAACCTGCTTTCCAGCTCCGTTCTCCTGTGCAGGGCTGTTCTGACCAAGGCTTTCCGAGACCGTAATTAAGCACACACTTCGTTAAAACAACTCTTGTTTTATTGCAACGCTGGGAATTATTTTCATTCCTGGCCGGTAATGAGTCCGAAACAGTCCCTTCGAGATAAGCACCCACCTCTCTTTCCTTTGAATTTCTGCCAATAACAAAAGTGCCAAATTAACTGTAAAAAAAAACAACCGAAGTACAAAATCCACACTTAAACCTTCAAGGTTTAATCCGAATAGAGCAAACAAAGTTGCTTCCTGCAAAGGTTTCACCTCCTTTGCCTGCCCTTTATCCCTTATGGGAGGAGCAATCACCTCCAAGCCTTACTCCCGAGTTGCCCTTTATCTCAGCTGCTCTTGCCTTCTAGCAGCTCTGTGCACACCTGCACTGGGAACAGGCTCCCTCTGTTCCTCAGCCTCGCTGCTGCTAGACTCCGGAGGCTCTGGAGTCAGCACCCCACTCCCAGATGGCCTTAGCCCCATCTCTGCATCGGACGCAGGCCCCTCATCTGAGTCCTCTCCAGACTCCCAGACTGGTCCCCATTCTTCCCCTCTGTCCGATTCCGCTGCAGTCTGCACAGGCTGCCGGCTGCAACAAGGGCAACCAAAGAAGACCCAGCTGATCAGTTGGGACTCGGGTGGCGAAGAGATGGGGGAGGGGTCAGTCAGAGGTGGTATTTGCTGGTTCTCCAAACTACTTAAAATTTCCGCTACTGGTTCTCCAGAACTGGTCAGAACCGGCTGAATACCACCTCTGGTTGGACTCTCTGCACAAGGTTGTGGCCCAACTCCTGGTGGTAACACAATACAGGTAGTTTTCGGTGGACAATAGTGTGCTCAATGACCGTTCGAAGTTTGGCACACAAAAGAACCAGTGCATCATATACACTCACAGCAAATTTCCACTTCATGAGATCCAGTGAACTACAAATCCCATCGTCTTCAAACAGAAATACTGGGAACCGCTGCCCAAATCATTTGGAGTCAACAACAACGCTATGAAAAGTGCCATACAGGCAGTTCTCAATCTATAACGTTCATTCAGTGACCGCTTGAAGTTACAGTGGCCCTGAAAAAAAGAGACTTATGACCATTTTTCACACTTACAACTGTTCACAAGATTCAAAATTCACATGCTTGGCAGCTGACACATTTATGACGGTTGCAGCATCCTGGAGAGGGGGTGTCATGTGACCCCCCCCTTTTGTGACCTTCTGACAAGCCAAGTCCATGGGGAAGCCGGATTCACTTCACAAATGGGTTAGTCACTTAACAACTGCAGCAATTCACTTAACAACCATGGCAAGAAAAAGTCGCGAAATGGGGCCAGACTCGCTTTGCAACTGTCTCACTCAGCGACAGAAATTTGGGGCTCAAATCGTGCCCCGTGAGTCGAGGACGACTTATATTTTTGGAAGTCTCCTGTTAACATTTTATAACTATTTTAGTCGACCGGCAGCATCAGCGTTACTATAGAACCGTGATGGCAAACCTATGGCACGCATGCCACAGGTGGCATGCAGAGCCATTTTTGTGCCGGCACACGAGCTGCAGGCAAACTTACCTCACTTCGCATGTGCGTGCCTCACAACTGATTTCGGCTGGTTTGAGGCTTTTTTCGGGGCCCCGAAGGCGTGAGGAAGGCTCCTGCAGGCTTTGCAGGCCGAAAACTAACCCCGTTTCCATCACTTCCGGTCTTTTCGGAAAAAACAGGAAGTGACAAAACGGGGCTAGTTTTCAGCCTGCAAGGCTTACAGAAGCCTGCAGAAGCCTTCCTCAATCCTTTGGGAGGTTGAAAAAGGCTTCAAACCGGCCGGAAATCAGCTGTGAGGCCCAGTGCAGGTAAGGCAGCGGGAGGTAGGCAGGTGGGTGGGGGATTGCACCTGCGTGCGTAAGGGGCGTGTGCATTGCCTTCTGGGTGCTGGCACGCGAGTGTGAGCATGCAAGCGCACACACAATTTTTGGCACAGGAGCCCAAAAAGATTAGCCACCCTTGCTATAGAGTTTTGGGTCGCCTTATACATTCCATTAAAAACTTGAGGAGGCCAGTCAGTCCAATTAAAAGAACAGCAACGAAATAAATTCCCTTTTTGTCCTGCTTCAGTCTGATCAAACCGGCCCGTCTAATTCATATTTTTTTTCCCCCACTGGCCTTTTCTGTTCCCTCTTTGTATCCTGCAGCATCAGAGATCCTTCAAGAAGAAGCTCAAGGGACCTTTGAAGGGGTGACCAAGCACTCCTGGAGGCATTAACCAGCCCAAACCAAGAAGCGCGGATGCCCCAAAAGATATTTTAAAGTTGCTAAAGGCAGGCAGGCAGTCTGGAGCGAGATCTTTCTGGGATCCTTCTTAAAGACACCCAAGTTTTGGCGGTGGTCTCCAAGCCACAGGAAGACTTTCAGATCTTCTCCTCGCAGAAGAAGCATCCATCCATCCATTCTCCTGAGCACCTTTTTTGCATCTGTTTCTCTAAGGGGAAAAAAAACAACCCGGCATTTATGGGTTCCTTGAGGAACTGGGAATTGATATTACATGTCTAGGATATGCAGTAAAACTCTAGAATGGAACCAGGATTCTACCCAAATCGGGGGCGCCTCTTCCATGTCCCCTTGAACTTAACACGTTGATGCCGTCATCTTAATTTCACAACCTCTTGGGCTACGTGACCTCTTCAAAAGGAACCATATTGCTTCAGTCGTACCAAAACACGATCCAAAGGAAGGGAAGCACCTCTTTCCCCAAAGTAATATATATATGTATGTACTGTATGTATGTATGTATGTCAGGAATGTGTGTATTGGGGGAGGAGGAGGTTGGGTGCTTCCTCTTTGTTTCCTTTGGTTGTATAATTTATGTTGTCCGCGGCTTCTTCTATCCCGGCTCAATTCAAAAAAAACGGAAGGGTCGATGTTGAAGATGAAATATTTATTTTTTGAAAAGGAAGATCAGCCGAGTAAAATGCACCTGAGGTGGAGCAAACGCTTGTGGTAATTCCCTCTTTTATTTCCCCCTCTCCCACGGGTTTTTAATTCCATGGGAATTTCCATGGTTGGATTAAAAGCAGATAACAGATCATCAGTGTTGGAAGGGACCTTGTAGGTCATCTAGTCCAACCCCCCGCCCAAGCGGGAGACCCTACACCATTTCTGACAAATGGCAGTCTCTTCTTGAAAGTCTCAACTGATGGTGCTCCCACAACTTCCGAGGGCAACTTCTGTTCCATGGGTTGATTGTTCTCACTGTCAGAAAGTTTCTCCTTATTTCCAAGTTGAATCTCTCATTCAGTTTCCATCCATTGTTCCTTGTCTGGCCTACAGGCGCTTTAGAAAACAGCTTCACTCCTTCCTCCTCTCTGTGGCAGCCCCTCCTCAAATATTGGAAGACTGCTATCCTGTCTCCCCTGGTCCTTCTCTTCACTAGACTAGCCAAGCCCAGTTCCTGTAACTGTTCTTCATATGTTTTAGTCTCCAGTCGCCTAATCATCCTGGTTGCTCTTCTCTGCACTTTTTCTAGAGTCTCAACATCTTTTTTATAGTGTGGTGACTAAAACTGGATGCTAGTCTTACTAAGGCTACTTACTACTTAGTCTTACTAAGGCTTCATAGAGTACTTTAGAAATTGCTTTATAAAGCAGTTTGTAATAGTAAGGGCAAACGCAGGAGGAGGAGGAGGAGGAGGAGGAGGAGGAGGAGGAGGAGGAGGAAGAGGAAGAGGTAATTTCCTGTTAGGAGAATGAGCGCATACAGGGAGACATATCTGAGAGTAGTGTTTGAATAATACACATATAGCACACAGATAAACTTATATTAAATGTAGATTTTTACTTCCAGAAAGGTTGAAAGCAAAGTCCAAAATAGGCAGTCCAAAGTCATTCACAGTTAAATCAGTCGGTGTTCATTTCAGGGATAATTCCAATATCAAAGTCCAGAATCAAAAACAGTTCAGTAACAAACTTGCATCAAATCCAGTAATATTAGTCAATTAGAAGAAATGGAGGAACGGCAATAATTTCCAACAGAAAGAAACGGAGACTCACTCGCACTCTCTTCTGAGACTCAGACTAATACAAACCAGGTTTCTGGCTCCATCTTATGGCCGTTTGAGAAACCACACCTAATTACAGTTTTGCATTTTGTTAAAGATATAGCTTTTAAATGTTTATCCTGGTTTATATATTTCTAACCCAAATACCTGTTAGGTGACTTATATTCCTAACAGAGGAGGAGAAGGAGGAGGAGGAGAAACAAGGATTTAACGTGTCACTCTTGCAGTCTTGCAAACATCCTTGAAATTTCCTGGGAAATCATCAGCTATAATCTCACTTGCAGAAAACCACAGGATACTCCAGGTTTTTCTTGCAACTCAATGTGAGGTTCAAGCAATCGGAACCAGTCATGAAGGCAGGGAGTCCTTGACTTACAACTGTTCATTTTGTGACTGGCACTGAAAGTCAGCACGGCACTGGAAAAAGTGACTGATGACCGTTTTCCACATGGATGACCCCAGGGGTGGGATTCTACCGGTTTGGACCGGTTCAAGTGAACCATGTTCAGAGTTTTGCAGCGTTAATTCAGCGCCAGAAAAATAAACACGGATGGCTGATGCTTCATTTAACATCTTTATAAACATAGTAAGTAGATTTTTACAAACCAGTTGTAGATTTCTCCAATACGAAGCAAACTCAGACAGAAACATGTTGCAAGTTCAGAGCAGAGCTCCAGTCTTCAGTAAGCAAGCAAGAGGAGAGAGGCCATTTCATCTTCAATAGACAGACTCAGAGCTCAACAGAGTTGCAGAGCTTAATATAGAGCCACGCCTTGGCTACTTCTAGTTTCAGTTTCCAGCCTAGGCTACAATCTAGTTTCAGTTTCCAAACTGTCTTCATTGGCTGATTTAGTTGCTATGCCTATTCACTGGCTGACCTTGTTACCATGCTCTATTTCAATTCATGAATATACTCTGAAAAAACCAGATGTTAAATTTACATCTGGTTTACCAAATCGGTAGTTGAACTGACTGGCTGGCCCTATGTACCCCACTCCCGTCCCACCCAGGAGTCTCCTCACGGCCCGTTTTGGGTGCAGGGTCTGCGCGGAGGCTCTGGGAAGGCAAAAAACGGCCCTCCCGGAAGTTTCGCGAGACCACGTCCACCCAGCAAACAGGCAGAGAACCAGTTGTTGGGATTTTGGAATCCCACCCCTGGATGACCGTCACAGCATTCCCGTGGTCACGTGATCAAAGTTCAGGCGGTTGGCAACTGACTCTTATTTATGACATCTGCAGGGCCCCGAGGTCACGCAATCCCCTTTTGCGAACTTCTGACCAGCAAAGTTAAGAGAGAAGCCATAGTTGACATAACTGCAGCGATTCACTTAATCAATTGCGGCAAGAAAGATTGTAAAATGGGTCAAAATTTCACTTAACTGTTTCCCTGGGCGATGGAAATTTTAGGTCGTAAGCTGAGGACCACCTGCGGAAGCTTTATCGCTAGTCGCCTGTGTCGCAAGAATCTTGCCAGACTGGCTGCATTTCTGCTGCAAATGGTCAGATCAGACTTCAGAAATTCTGGGGGACGCCAGCCTGTGCCACTTACTGCAGTGCAAAGATTCTAAGCTTGTTCCCCTCTTGACACACTCCAGCCTAGCTGGAGTTTCTGACTGCACACAGGCCGTCCTTGACTTACAGCAGTTAATTTAGTGCCTGTTCAAAGTTATAACGGCACTGTGATGACCCAGGGTCATCACAAAAACAGGGGAAGCCCCTTTTATTCTTTCACTTTGCTTCAAAGCTCCAGATATCCTTGACCGGAGACAAAAAAAACTCCCCAACAAGCAGTTATGAAAAGGAGGATATGCTGTTTAAACTAAAAATGCCTATAAATTATAAGAGTAAAAACAATCCAAACCACACTGAAGCAATTAAGGGAACCAGGCAAGATAAGGGCTTGAAGATGTCCACAGATATCAGAACACACACTGGGAAGGACGTCAAAGTCAGAGAGGAACGACAGACTAGAGATATTTCCATGCTTTGTTTCCAGCACTGGCCCATACGCATGTCTGTCCTCTTACTCAGTTCTCACAGCTGCAGCCCATGAAGAGGATCAAGGCCCTTTCCTCCCCCATAGACCATGCCACTCACGCCTCTCCCTTATCCTCTCCTCTCTGCGTGCCCTAGGATGGAGAGGGGATGGGCCTGGGTCTTCCTCTGACTGCCCAGCCGGCCTCTGCCCTTCCCCAGCCTCCTCCCCAACCTCCGGAGCCACACTTCCACTCCCTGTCGGCTGTTCCTCCTCTCTCTGAGAGTCAGTCTCCAACAGGCACTGAAAAAAGTGGCTTATGCCCTGTTTTTCCCTCATCTGACCATTGCGGCACTTTATCAGATTTCAGATGCGTGGCAACTGACTCCTATTTATGACGGTTAAGAGTGTCCTGGGGTGATGGGATCATCGTTTGTGTGACCTTCTGACAAGCTAAGTCAATAGGGAAGAGGTGAAGCTATCAACCGTGTTACTAATTTCACAGCTCCCGTGATTCACTTAAAGCAGTGTGGCAAGAAAAGTCGTAAAATGGGAAGAAATTTGGTTAACAACTGTCTCACTTAGCAACAGACATTTTGGGCTCCACTGTGGTCATACATCAAGGGCTACCTGTATCTCTATGTGGGCGCTCCAACACTGGAAGTTTTTAAGAAGAGATTGGGTTACCATTTGCCTAAAATGATCTTGTTTCCTGCTTGAGCAGGGGGTTGGACTAGAAGACCTCCAAGGTCCCTTCCAGCTCTGTTATTTTATTATCTGCTTGAAATCTGCCTGCTAAGCTCAAAAGGCTAGGCCAGCTCTGTGATTGGGCTGAGTAAATCCAATGTCGAAATGACACAATAGGACTTCCCACATATGGGTTGCAAAAACCCAGCTGCTAACTAGATGGCAGCACAGAAGTAGATTTTAAAGTATAGCATTGCTGCCATCTAGTGGCCAGATACTTTTCTCAAGCGATCCAAGCTGCTTCTCACAGCTACGCAGTTAAACCCAGAGCCACAAGCTCATTGCAGTTTTCAACCCAGTTTGTCCTTAGTTGTTTAGTTATAGCAACAAAACTGTGCAAGAGAAGATCCTCATTAATCACTCAGCTTGCATCCGCTTTCCAATTTGGATCAATTAGTTTAAAGGCTGAGATTCATCAGAAGGCTCCAAGTTCTTGTTTTTATACTGCGATCAGTAAAATTTGAGTGACGTTTCACTGGCTTTTCTGCATA